TTCAGTTGTCCACAGATGGGCATTGGGTCCCCATCACACGCTACCCTTATTCACGATGATATGACCCTCTGCCTCCACCTTTGGTGCTTGAAACCTGGTGCCCTCGGCCCTTCATGATCACATATGTTGGTGTGCTGCTTCCATGTGGGCTTTGTTGTTTCTGGGCTAGATTACCCTGAATATTTTTAAAAGGCAAGGAAGAAATTTTTGTTATGGAACAAGCAAGAAATACTAGAACAAGTTCAGGTTGGGTCAAGAGGGAGGTCAACTGACCAAGTATCAAATGATGTCTAGCATAATCAAGATTACAGTGGTCTCTATCTGATAGTATGACTGTTTGAGTCCCTTGTGTGTGGATAGTGGAGCTCTAATCTGACTAGATACTCTGCAGATGAGTTTTGGGCTCCCACTGTCCTCCACAGCCTTCTACAAATTGGGTATTCACAATTTAAGCTCTGATACTTTCCTCTTCATCATATTTGGGTTTTGTTACTGTCATCTTTGGATCACACAAGCTGGTGGACTTAGTTGAGTTCTCACTTAGATGGTTGCTTGTTTGAATACTAGCCTTTTAGACCGTGGATACTTTTTCCAATTGATAGCCCAGCACCATCTGCTTTCTTCACCACACTTTGCTGTAGCACCCTGTCTTCAGTGATCATTTCATAAAAGTGACTATCGCGCAGGGCCATGATATCAGAACGAATTGTCTAATTATTCTTGGATTGAGGCTAGAGTTAAGTGGGAGCCCAGAATTTATCTGTTTGTCCCTGGGATATGCAAGACTCATACAGTCTATACTATTCTTAGAAGGTTCTAGATTTCCTAGAATTATTTTGTGAGTAAAATGTAATCTATCAGAAGTTAGTTAAGAATTGAGGTCATTATAGCCAATCACCCAGTTGATCCTTGAAAATTGGTCTCTAGTATCTTGGCCCCACTTTCTATATTAAGTATGATAATGGATTCTAGAAAGATCTCTCTTGTCTTTGTCTCTACTGCGCTACACCCAGTTCGGAGGGTACCAGAACACCAAGGTCTATTCCATCCAGTCTGTTCCAACTCATAGTGACCCCGTGGCTCTCCAAGGCTGTAAGCAGAAAGCCTCATCTTCCTCTCGAGGAGCAGCTGGTGGCTTTGAATTTCCAGCCTTCTGGTTAGTAGCCCAGTTTGTAACGCACTAGGCCACCAGGGCTCCTTTACTCTGAGGGTAAAGAGAGCCTCCTTTCCCAGATGTCCCACTGTACCACGAGAGTGCTGCTCATTAAGTGCCATGGACCTACCTCCAAATCTGGAGCCACGCTGTGCAGTCTGTTTCAAGGGCTCCAGTGGGGATTCAACACAAGGAAAGTGAGACGCCACAAACAGTCCCATGGCTTTGAGAACTGAAACTAACGAACAGCTGGGCACAGGACTTCCCATCTACTCTAGGGGGCTAGCAGCTCCCACGCGTTCCCTATGCTTCCCTCCCAGAAATGGAGTTTAGAAAATCTAATGATCGAGGGAATCCCACTGTTAGTAGAATCCATTTTGGTGAGCAAACCTAACTTAGACTCCTTTGTGATTTTCTAATATCTAAGAAACACCACAAATTATGTATATTTGTCACCC